AGAAATAAGAGATTGAATTATGAGTTTATTTTTATTTTTAATGTTTATTTATTTATTATTATTATCTACCTCTATATATTAAACATGAGTCCTCCTTCTTAAATGATTGTTTTAAAGAGTTATCTTAAATGTGAGCATTCTTAGGAGTCGTTCTCTTTCTCATTATGCCACAAGGCTTATCCAGCAGTCAGCACTCATGAAAGTGTTACCAGACTTAGTGGTAGAATACATGAAAATACAAGATGTCATTTTCAATGTTAAGTTTGCCAAAACCTATGATGAAGTGTTGTTGAGATGCCCTTCAACTCTTTCATGTTTCCTTAACTGTTGATGATGAATGGATGTGAAACATAATGATAATGCATATTTTTCTTTTCATTCAGACAATATTCCGCAACCCAAAAGAAGTCAAACCATATACTGTTCCATTCCCTGAGCGCTGCAATCTTCCTGCCGCTGCCATTCATGCATCTTCAGACACGGTTGTGGTTGTTGATATGAATGCACCAGCAGCTCATGTAGCACAACACAAATGGCAACCCAATACACCTGATGGCCAGGGTACTCCTTTCCTCTTTCAACATAGAAAAGCAACATCAAGCACTGCTGGTGGTACACTTATGCGCATGTTCAAAGCACCAGCTGCATCTGGTGAAGAGTGGCAATTCCCTCAAGCTGTAGCATTTTCTGTCTCTGGAATCAGAAGCCAAGCTATTGTTTCTATAACAGGCGACCAAGAAGTTATTACGGGTAAATCTAGAAGAGCTAAGACTGTTTGGATATGCTGCCTTCTAGTATTTATTTTATGAAAAGAGCTCTTCTGATGGATTTATACTGATGCCATGCAACATTGGGAATTAATTAGATAGTGAAATTTATCAATTCCAAAGAATCTTGCTTAGGGGATGAACAATACACGTTTGGGATCTTTTAGATGTTATAAATGTTCACTTATGTAGCCCATGATATTCCTCAGGTATTCCTCATAAAGATGGAAAATTGGATATTGCAGGGCATGTAAGCTCTTGCATCCTTCTTGTTCAATACAAATGAAAAAGGAAAATTGTTAAGAATAAGCTGCATGTACAAGAATGAGGAGGATACAATGGCTCGTAACAAATTATAGTTCTCCAACCTCTGAATATTTGTAGCAAAACAGAAGTGGCTGATAACACAAAGTAGCAATCATTTCAAGTATCTATGTATTTAAATTTTAGAGAGAGAGATTTCTAGAAGGACACAGTCCAGATGTCACAGGCATTTTGGCATGGCTATTGGATCATCTTTAAATGAAACATTCCTTCAACGTGGAAATGATTGGCATAACGGTCATATTCAATACCCACAATCATTAGAATCTCTAGGTACAGATGAAACCTTTTTCTGTAGGTCTGTAACCCATAAATCATGACAGGTTAATAAGAAGCTCATAAGGCTAAATGTGGTAGTCCAAGATAGCATATTCACGTTGTCAATCAAAACTTGAAAATTTACAATTATAGAAATCATTATAAATTAGAATATAATTATTCATAATCAGGATAATATGGTTTTTAAATTCTTTTTATTCCTGACCTTTCCTGTGTCTTTAAATTTGATTGATGATGTGGGATTGCTGACTTGAATTGCCATATTTCCAAGTCCTGGGATGTATAGGATTTCGTAAACCTTTACTGGGAAATAGTTCATCTGTTTTTTCGTTTGATGATAAATTATATTTTTTTCATCCTCTTGGCCCTTACTCAGTTTTAGATTAGAAACTTGAACTACATGTTTAGTAGTTGCTTTTTGTGTACTGAGTGTTTGACATCTAATTTTGATGTTTTGGCTTCTGATTGATTTAGGTGGGCATGCTGATAATAGTATTAGGCTAATATCCTCAGACGGAGCTAAAACATTAGAAACAGCTTATGCGCATTGTGCTCCTGTAACTTGCCTTGGTCTTTCACCTGATAGTAACTACCTAGTGACTGGATCTCGAGACACAACAGTATTACTCTGGAGAATACATAGGGCACTTGTGTCTCACTCAAGTGTCATATCAGAACCTTCCACTGGGACAGGCACACCATCTTCAACTGGTAATAGTTCTTCACAGTTAATAGAAAAAAACCGCAGACGTCGAATTGAGGGTCCTATTCAGGTACTTCGGGGGCACCACAGTGAAATACTCAGTTGTTGTGTTAACTCAGATCTCGGAATAGTGGTTTCTTGCTCCCATTCATCAGAGGTCCTCTTGCACTCTATAAGAAGGGGACGTTTAATAAGAAGGCTGGATGGTGTGGAGGCCCATATCGTCTGCCTTTCCTCTGAAGGGGTTGTAATGACTTGGAATGAATCACAGCATACTCTCAGTACCTTTACTCTCAATGGTACTCCAATTACCAGCACACAATTATCTTTCTTTTGCAGTATCAGTTGCATGGAAATTTCTGTTGATGGGACAAGTGCTTTGATTGGAATTAATTCCCTTGAAAATGGTAGAGCCTACCGTAACAGTTCAAATTCACAGCTGAATAAGTCAGGTGTTGTTGACTTTGATTCAGAATCAGAAGAAACTTATGAAAGCAATGGAATAGATGTTCCTTCACCGTCAATTTGCTTCCTGGATATGCACACTCTGGAGGTAAAGGATTAAGATGTCAAATATAAATTTACGTTTACATTTTATCTGACATTAAATTTCTCTGTTCTATTCCTCATGTTCATACACCATAAGCAAGCATGCTATCAAGAAGAGCAACTATCGAAGCAAGCCTTTTTTCCTTTCTTCTGGGAGAATTATCATTAAAAAAATCTGCAAATTTGAATTTTTTTCAAATAAAATAATTGACTTCTTGTGAAACAAAATAAATGTTCTTGGAACGGCATTGTCCCTCAGTACTGATAACTCTGCCATACTATTTTTTGTAGATATTTCATGTTTTGAAACTGGGAGAAGGGCAGGACATCACAGCTCTTGCTCTAAACAAGGATAACACAAATCTTTTGGTTTCAACTTTGGATAAACAATTGATAGTCTTCACTGATCCAACTGTAAGTTCCTGATTCTTGTAACTTGGTAAACAGGACAAACTTCATATATTTCCCTTGCAGTGTAGTTTCATATGAGTGTGATCATGGTTGCACATGATTGGGAGACACTAATTCACACCTGTGCAGTTTGGCCGATTTTGATGTTTCTGTGTATCTCTGGAACCAACTGCACAGAATCAAAATATTCTGCATTATGCTAGTGAGAGTGGTGTCACTTTAACTGGTGTTGAATATCCATTATTCTTCTTAAAATTACTTAAACATCATATGTGATTTTGATTCTCCAACAATAGGTCCCTCCTCAGATTTAGTCCACATTAGAAGTTTAGGTGATAATAGCCCCCATTGAGTTGTAATTTGCTACGTGCATGAATGGCATTTATCTATAACATTTGCCCTCCATTTTCTCTACTATGCCTTTAACATATGTTCTTCAAATGCATAAACCATTCCGTTGTCATTAATACTGCCACTTATTTTTTGCAGTTAAGCTTGAAAGTGGTCGATCAAATGCTCAAGCTTGGCTGGGAAGGTGATGGGCTTCGGCCACTCATAAAATCATAGTTTTTAGGGTATACATGAATGGATTACAGGTCTTCTACATATAATATCAGTTAGGAAAATTAGGTTGAGGTTATGTCACATGTTTGTTAGCATTCTGGTTGCGTCCCTATGGTTCAGAGATGTCTTGTGAGTTGTGACATATGTAACATCCCATTGTTACCACTAGTGTTAGATTCATAGTTTTAGCAGGGGGTTCTTTCTCCTCCGGTTGTGCTATAGTGTTGATGTTGGACAAGCTTGTAATTTCCGACTGAGGTTTGAGCCATTTTTGTCCCACAATTTTTTTTATTATAGATAATGAAAATCTAATAGCTATTCTTTCTTGTCATGCTACTGCTCTCCAGCCATTGAGATTTATTAGATTTTTTGTGAGGTTTGAATCTTCAGTATTTGTTAATAACTAAATTTCAATTGTTATTACTGTTTTCTGTCTTATTTTTCATTTCTTTAATTATAACTCAATTGAATCAACGTTGACGTTGCTGTTGAAGATAGGCTTCACTAGTAAGATCATATTGTGTTTGGTTCGATTTTTGTTTATGATCCTTTATTATTAAGTAGTTTGTAAATTAATAAACAAAACATGCTTTGCTCAGATGGATTACGTCAAAATTTCAAGACTCCTGTTTTGGAAGGTGAGAAGATGAAAAATAATATTCATTTGGAGCTAAATTTATACGATATTTTAATCTATATCATCCGTGGATTAGATCTTTATTTTCGCATTTTATAATTTTTTTTTAATTTTAAAAGAACTAAATTTAAATTTTAAAATGTGCCAAAATCCCGCAAAACTTTATAGGAAGTTTGAAGACATTAAAGTATGGGCAATTGGTGTGCATGTGTATTGAGATTTTTCTTCCGCTTGAACAATGAGTCATTCGAGCCAAGTTAATCTAAAAATAATTTTCTTTTTATCAAAACTACTTTGTTTTATTAACTTTTTTATGCATGTTAAATTTTATCAATCTAGTTTGATGGAAAATTTTATATAAATAAATTTATTTTATATATAATATACTTTTTTAAATATCAATAAATATTGATTATAATATATATATATATATATATATATATATATATATCTTCACTTTTTTTTTTTACCATGTTGTCATCGTATCAGAATCAATGACTTTCTTTAATGGTTAAATTTGTAATTAAATTATTTGATAAAATTTTATTAAACAAAATAAAAGCATTAAGTCTTATACTAGTGTAATTTAATTTTTTATAATTTAAATTTTAATTAATTCTTTATTATCGTATTACTTTTTACTATAAATAATTTTTCATTATTAGATTACGCATTCAAAATTTTATCAAACCATCAAGATCGATAAAATTGCCTTAGACGACATCGTCTCGGAAATTGTTAAAACGACATCGTCTCGGAAATTGTAATAGCCCCATTGAGTTGGTTTGACAGAGTAGGGTTCTAAGGAAGAGAGAGAGAGAGAAATGGGAGGAAAGGGAAAGAGAAGGAGAGAGAAGAACTACAGAGCTGCTCATGGCGGCTACAATGGCCTTCCTCCCCCACCCCTTCCTTCCCAAATCGACGCTTTACCCTCTAAACTTCGCAAAATCATCTCTTTTACTCAAAATCAAAATGGTTCTGCTCCTTCTTCTTCTCTTTCACCTTCCATCTCTTCTTTTCTGTTTCTCATTGGTTTCTTATCTTTTCAGGGGCTACTGGGTCGTCAAAAAACAAAATAACCGATGATGGGCATGCTCAAAATGTAACCCTTAATTGTTTTTTTCCCTTTTAAAAAAAATTATTGTTTATTATATATTTATTTGCTTGGCTTTGAATAAGTGACAAGGAAGACTTTGGTTGATTTGTTGTGATTGCTGTAAAATGTGTTTGTTTCTGTTCTATGAAGCTGTTGCTTACTGTGTCTGAGTTGCAGAATGGTTCTTATATGTGGGCACATGATGCATTTCTTGGCTTCATTATTAATTAGGTGACTCTAGAATTGGATTTTAAATTTCCTTGTTTCGCTTTGCATTTTCAGTGTTTGCACTTTAATTGTTTATCAGATGTTGATTTTGTTTGAACTCTAAAGTATAATCCCATCCTATTACGTCTACTCTGGCCCTCAGTGCAACTGAAGGTATGCATAATTTTGTCAAGGTATTGATAAAAATAATCTCACCAACATGAGAAAACTGCAGCCTCTAACAAGAGTTTAGTCAAGATTCAAGAATTTTTTACTAATGAATTATTACATTGTTTGTAATGATTTATATATGTATATATATTTTTTACTTTGGGTATTTATTGAATGATTATTTGTGCAGAACACCCCTCTAAAGGACAAAGGTAATGTTGGTATTGCAGATGTCAATCAGGGGCATGCTAATGGGCAATTAAAGGCACCTCAACATGCTGATAGGGTTGATGAAAGTAATGCAAATGATAAGAAAAGGAAAAAAAGAAAGAGGAATGAGGTTAAAGATCTCAGGTTTGCAATGGAAGTGGATCAAACGAGCACCCAGTTAAAGAGACGGGAGCGTAAGAAAAAGTAAGTGAACTAAAACCTATGTAGTTGTCCATTTTATACCGATATGCATAAATGACATAAATACTAAACATTATAATTGTGATGGCTTATATGGTATTCGAAGTTGAATTTGTGAAATTTCTCTACACAGAAAGAATAAAGCACCACAATACTTTAGCACATTGTATAATCTCTATCATGATAAACTATTCAGGTATTTAGAAGCAAAAAAGAAGAAGCACAAAAAATCTCATGAGGAAGAAAAGTTGGACTTCCCTGGACATGAAAAAATAAAATTTGGAGATATTGTGCAAGCCCCACCAAAATTGGCTGTCACTCCTAAGGTAAGTACTTGAAATTCTAATTTTCCAAAATGGATCATGCATTCAAGCCATATTTATTTGAGGAAAATGTTTTGCTTGTGTAATGAAGGCATTCAAGAATGCTCAAGATGCTTCTCAAGAGAGACTTAGACTCCGTGCTATAGAGGAATACAGGAGTCGCAAAGGATGGACGTCGAGGCCAGGGAGTCACCTTCCACCTGTGGTGACTACATCAGACACTTAAATCACTCACAGCATGTTATCAAGCATATTATGCTTAGTTGAGGTAGTCTTACAAAGCATGCAAGATTATGCATTGCATGAACAAAGAAGAGGAAATGAGCATGGCTCTTTTGTTTTTCATTTTCTTGGAGGTAGATTTTTCTTCATTGAGAGGCAATTTATGGGTTCTCACAGGAAGTATGATCTGATGCAGACTTGTACATGTCTGGAAGTCGTTAGTTACATCAAATGAAAAGTCAATTACTGAGCTGATATGATATAGCTAACGTTTGTCAGAATATAAAGAAAAATAACTCAAAAATGATGTTGCTATTTAGATTACCTTGTATCTCTAAATATTCTTTAATGCATGTTTTCCTTGGTTTGCTTTCAACTTGCTCTAACTGGAAAATATAACTAACAAAACCCGTATTAAAATATATGATATATCAAACCAACTGTAGTATAGCAGAATTTCACTGCATGAATTCTCTTGTCCTTTGAAGCAACAATCAAAATAGAAGCTAAAGGTCGAATTAACTTGTGGAGATTGAAGTAGTTGAATGTAAAAATGGTTAAATTAAAGCACTGACACACCAGAAAGATAACGCAGTCACGAGTCACAACGTTGGCTTCTCACAATACTGAGATTTTATGTTTGATTTACTTGTGAAAATTTTTCGGTTTTTAGATTTTGATAATAAATAGGTGCTGAGAAAAGTGTTCTTAAATTGGTTCATCTGGCAAGACTTGGACTTGTGCGAATGTAAATTGGCTTTTAGATGTCTAGGATCAGGATAAAACTAAATATTCTCAATAAATTGGTAAACATGATAAAATTTAATATTCACAAAAATTAATTAATGGAATAAGTCAAATCTTGTCTTAAATAAAAAAGTTTCAGTGTCTACGATAATTGCAGTAACATGAGTGGTTCAGCTAATTGCTCTCAGAACATTTACTATACAATTTATTTAATCATTTTTAAACAATAATTTATATTACATATTTATCGTTAAAAGTATTATAATAAGTTAAAAATAATTTATTTTAATAAATTATATTAAAAATTGTAGTATAATTTATTAAAATAATTTAAAAGAATTGCCATTTAATTTTCACAAACTATTCACGTGCACTTCTAATGAAGTACGTATCATCGTCAATGACAAAATTTGAGAAGATCTTAAGACTATGGACTGAGACAATACTGTTAACCATTCAAATTGTGCACAGGGGATGCCAACGAGTCTAACATGTCTTTTATCATCTTTCAACGTGATTCATTTATTTTTTAAAATTTAAAAATAATAAATAAATACTATATATATAGTATTTTTTATTTAGTCTCTTGAAGTGTCAAAGAAACTAAAAGAAGAAGAAACAATAATCGCTTACCAGTGACATAAAATTTTATAAGCTAAAAAAATAGATGTGTTAATTAAATTTTGAGTCAAAAGAATTTTTTATTCCTTTAGTTAAATTTAATAGATAGTTATTGGTTTAAAAGATTTAAGATTATTTACTGACATTTTGTTTTAAAATTTCTTTGTAAAAATTGACTTTTGATAAAACACTAAATTTTGTTGCTGTAAATTCAATTTTTGTTAAAAACTAACCTAACTCTTTGTAGGACCACAAGATTTTGTATGAAAATTTAAAGAAAATGGTAAGGAACCTTGAAGGAAATAGAATAGAGAAATTCAAATTGAATTAGGAAGAATTCAAATTCAATTTGTATTCTAGATATTTTTGGTTAAGAAAGGTAATTAGGACTTAAATTCTTTTAAGTAATATAAAGAAGGGATTAGAACATGTGTGTCCTTGGAAAACACTAGAAAACTTTAGAAATTTAACGATTAGATGAATTTACTTGTAATTTTTGCAAAAGATATAAACCTAGCTGTAATTTAAAAAGTATTAGACATATTTTTAGATAATTTTTTCATATTTAATTTAAATAAAAGACTATTTTAAGAGTAAATAAAAATTGATTTAATTAAATTTAGAGTTAAAATAAATTAAATATAAATTATTTATTATATTTTTTAAAAATTAATGTCAATGACCTTTTAGTGGAAGCTGGAGATACGTAACCTATATATTAACTATTTGACTTATGTTTGTATTTATATATAAAATTAGACACTTAAAGGAAAATAATAAAATTAGTTTTGTAATTTTTTTGTTTGAATTGAATTAGTTATAAATTTTTCAAGTTGAGACTCTATACGAAATTTAGAAGAATGAAAAATAAAATAATAATAATTAATCTTTTTCTTAAAAGAGATCATACAAATACTTGATAAGCATTATTATGACTCTTTTGAAGTAAAAGTGATGGGTTATAAAAAAATTACCTATAATGTACTAAAATGAATAATAATAATTACATAAATGGTTGAACTATGTTTGGTACAAACGAAGGGCAAAAAGTGATTGGTCAAGTTCATGACTAATAGAGATAGTATGATACTCGAGCACTAGCAATAAACTAGGACTAGCTACCCTATGTTTGCAATAAGGGACAAAATGCTAGACCATCTTAATTAGTAATACTTGTGTTTAAGTGTGTACCGCTAAAAGTAACCACACAGAATGATGATGTACATAGTAAATGAAGACTATGAAGAGATCAATGTACTATCTAGCACTGACTAAATTACTAGTACAGAAATCATAATTGTTCAACCATAAAACTTAAAATAATAATAGATAATAGATTATTCTATGGAGAATTTAAAAGAAAAGACTATTAGAAAATTGATAAGCCATGAAATCTTATATAATAGTTATGATTATTTTACTCATTAGTATTGTATATTTCTTTGTGAGATATAGTTTATGGGTTATGTGTACTCACTTACCATTTTGTGATGTTTCCATATCATCATGAGAAACAAAATGACCTTCAGGGGTGAAGCACAAGAGTGCATGGTATTATCCTTCAGAGGAGGAAGATGAGATTTTAATACTATGAATCATACCATAATCTTTATTGGTGATATTATCTATATACTTAGTCAAATTAATAATCCACTAATAAAGCCTAATGTTGTGTCATATGTCTTAAGGTTAAAATCTAATTTCTTCTTAGTTCTGTCATGCATTATTTAAATTTTCAGGAACCAATAAAGATCAATATAAGAGATAACGAGGCATGGCTCAACTAATACTTTATAAATGAAGGGTGGTAATAAAAATTTTAGGCTTCTATAATCTCTCCTTTGTAATATAGCTTAAGTAAATAAAGACTAGTTGTCAATATTTTTTTAAAATTAAAATTTTAACTAACCAGTACTTTCTATTCTATTCATAAGTTCTCTAAAATAAATAAAATATGATAGGCCGGATCCTCCCCCTCCCCAAACAATAGCTCAATGAGAATGGTTTTGCCAATATAGTTTTTTGGAAAACAACTTGCAAAGATCTCTTTAGAAACTCTAAAAAAATTTCTTATTGATTTCATGTGTAAGCTCAACCCTTATTTCGCTATTCATGTTAAAGTATTGGTAAATAAATACTTTAACTTTTTAAAAAATGAATGAATCATAATATATATATATTTCTCAGGCCACCGTTAAACGCACCGTCCTGTGGGCTAATGGCAATCATACACCATTAATCTTTTGCCTGCCGCAAATGGTATAAAGCTCAAAATCATTTAGCTTTAAAATCAATGTCAATCACACTTCTCTTTTAATTTTAATCAACTTTTTCATGTTTATCATCTTGAGTTTAATGAATAAAATAAAATTAAAAATTATTCCCTGTCTGGAGCAAATTTTTGCCACGTAAGCATGTATTTCGTATATAAATAAGATGAAATTAATTTTTATTTTAAATTCAATGATTTCATCTAAAAGAGAGACAAAATACTCCACATCCGTCACTTAATTCGTATAAATGAGAGACGAAACAATCGACAGGTGTCAAGACACTAGTAATTCGTCTTAATTCAGGACAAAAGCGTAGGATCTGGACACGTGTTTGCATCCTAATTATTTCGTCCACAAATGAGACGAAAAGCATATTCATTTCGTCTACACTTGAGGCGAAACCATTTTATCCACTAGTCCCTCTTCTTCCGCTGCATCCTTTTATCCAACTAAATTTGACTATATAATGTTTGAAATGTGGAGATCTATCTAAATCACCGTGAGAGAGAAAGAGGTTTGAAATGTAAAGATCTAAATCACGTGAAAGAGAAAGAAGTTTCTAAATGTTTGAAGATTGGAAAAAAAAAAATTTAAGATTAGTAAATTTTGAAACTTTTTTTAATATTTTTGTTATTAAAAAAATTTAATTATTATAAATAGAGGTAGTTAAAATTTATAAATATTTAATAAATATATTTTTGTGTGTATTGAAATTAAAAATTAAGGTTTTATATAATTATTAAAAAAATATAAAAGTTAGTAGATATTTAATATAAATTTGTTTAATTAAAAAATAATGTTATATTTATTGTGAATATTTATTTCATATATGTGGAATATGTGTAAAAAATAAAATGATGTGAAAAATAATAGTATGTTTGTGTGTGCTAATAATAATTGATTTTTATTATTTATATAAATAAGTATAATTGTAAATAATTGTTGATATTTTTTTTTATATAAATGCAGGATGAATGAGATTATTATTATTATTGTATATTGGAATGGAAAAATTGTTGTTGGAAATGAAAGTGTGACATTTGAAGGTAACAAAAAAATGATAAAGATAAGAAGAGGAATAAGTTATATGAATTTAAAGAAAAAGATTCATGACAAGTTGAATCTTAGTAATAACCATGTCATATTTAGAATAATTTTTCATTTTATGGTTGATTTAAGCGCTAAATAATACAATGCATTGGATATATGTGATGATGAAGACATTGATTGTATGATTAGATACGCAAAGTATTACAAGTCTTATTGAATTATATTTGGATGTTGCATTTGGTGAGAGTTCAAGAGGTGGGTCAAATATGTTAGACTTAAGCTTATCAATGTCACCGCTTAACCTTATGAAAATGGTCAATATAAATGTTACAGAAGGTATAAATTATACTGTTATAATTTATTTTTAATTTTTTTTAGTGACAACACATATTGAATAAGTGTTTGTATTTTGAAGGATGTGGAGATCTATGCAGTTATGAAGATGAAGATGAAGAAGTCAATAGTGATGATAAGACAGATGATATTGATGAAAGACATATTTCATTAGACAGCTCGTCAGATATAGACATCGATGATGATTTTGATTCAAATTTTAATTTACAACAAGAAAATGTTAGAGGTAACATTTAAAAAGTATATTGATTTAATTATGTATTTTATTTTAATGATGAATATTGTATGTTTAAATGTAGTTGTAGGTGAAATACCTTTTTGGAATGTA